TTGACATCGAGGACTCTTGTCCTCAGGATCTGAGGCTTCTCATCTGCCAGGGCTGGGTGTATCAGTACATGACCTTATTTGGAAATAGGGCCCCTGCGGCTATAACTAGTTCAAATGAAATTGTACTGGGTTAGTGTGGGCCTTCAATCCAGTGGGCATCCCTGTACAAAGGCCACATGGAGACACGGAGGAGACGGCCCGTGGACATAGGCAAAGAGAGATGGGAGGCATGCAGCTACCAGTCAGCGAGCGCCTGGGGTGCTGGCTGCCACCACAAGCCAGGAAGAGGCAAGGGAGGACTGTCCCCGAGAGCCTGCACAGAGCACAGCCATCCCAACGCCCTGGTTTCTGACGGCCAGCCTCCAGAACTGCAAGAAAATAAATGTCTGTTGTGTGAAGCCACCCAGTGTGTGGTGCTGTGGTGCAGCTGCACTCTGAAACCAATTCAATAGATCTGTGCATTTGTGTTTGCGTATTTTGAGGCAGATCAGTGCATTTTGCATGGGTGCATCTGTGTATGCTGCAGGGTGGTATCTGGGTGTGCTTAGGAACGTGTTTGTGACTACACTTTGTGTTTTGTGTGCTTATGTGTGTTTTGGGGTGATGCATGTTTGTTTTTATGTGAGGGCATGTTGTGTATGTGTATATGTGTTCGTGTATGTGTGTGTGAACACACATGTACGTAACCAATGATCTCAGGTCTTTCTTAGCCCTAACATTCCAAAAGTCTACCCTGAATTTGGCTACAGAGGTTAGTGCTGAGGGGATGCTGGCCACTGGCAGTGGGAAGGGACCCCAAGACGAGGTTGGAGCCACACCCATTCATTCTGGTCTAGGGCTGCCTGGGAAACAGGCGGTCTACGGGAGCAGTGTTCTCTGCTGCACCTGCCCTGTCAGCAAAAGGGTCTGAAGCTCAGGAGTGTGGGGCCAGCAGGATCCATGCCCTGGGGTCCCAGCCTGACAGCTTTCTTGGAAGCCTTCAGCAGAGCAGAGACCGCCCCCCTCCCCACTCTACCTGCTATGAATCTGAGTTACTCTGAAACATTAGAGTGGTTCACAAAGACGGCTTGTTCTACCACAGATGCTGCCCCTGCCCAAGTTTCTGATGTGGCAGGTCTGGGTTGGAGTCTAGAAGCTCCCAGGTGATCCCGACACTGCTGGATGGGGCCGGCCGCGCTTCAAGGATCCCTTCATTAGACTGTGAAACAGGCGGTGGGGCTGTCTTCGTCCTCCACCCCCTACCTGAGACCCCGGTGTGGGTATCCTGGTCTTTGAGGACAGGCCCTGGAAAGGTCAGGCCTGGCAGGCTCCATCTTATTCCCCAGTCTGTCTCTCCCAGCTGCCTGCCTGTCAACTGTGAAATCATTCATGCAGTGAAATAATGGGCCAGACTCTGTTCCTTGTAGTCAAGGTGCTTTTGGTCAAAGCACAAGATTCTAGTGGGTCCACAGACCCCAAAGGAACCGTGCATTCCATAGGTGCACTCCAGAGGCCCAGCGAAGGGGTGCTGGGAGCACAGCGGAGGAGCCCTGGGCAATCTGGAAGGGCTGCCCGGAGGTGGTGTTATCCAAGGCAGAGTTGGGAGGGCAGTAGGCACATTCTTCGAGGGCTTACTGCCAAGTGTTGTGCTAAGAGTCTATAAGCACGAGCTCTTTCAATGCTCACGACTCCAAGATGGGAGCTACTGTTACTGAAGAGACTGGAGTCTGGCAGTCACATATCCAGCCTTCGGTTCATATGGGGCTTCTGACCTGGAGTTTGGAGTTGTGGCCACAGGGAGGGAAAGGCCATGATATGCCCAGAAGAGACTGTGCGCACACAAAAGTAGAGAGGGAGGTGGGCTTGGATTACGTAAAGGCTTTCCCCAGAGAGTTTGGGTCCCAGATGGAAACACACCAGCCCTCAGGGCAGCAGAGATGGAAGGGACACCCAGCTCTGTCCCCATCTGGCTAAATAGGGCAGGAGCCAGGCTGGCTGCCTCCGGGGGAGTCGGAGAGAGGCAGAGGGAGGGGCAAGAGTGTAGCTGCTCCCGCGATGGGTGCGAGTCAGATGGCAGAGGCCGCGGGGCTGGCTGGCACGGCTTCACAGGATCTGGGGGGCAGAGAGGGCCCAGGACACGAGTGGCTTGAGAATCACGGCGCTGCGGTAGCGCGGGCTCTCTGGCTACAGAGCTGATGGTGATGAAGGGTGAAACTGCCCAGATACTACCAGTCCCCCCTCCTTCTCTGTTTCCCCATTGCATTTATCTCCTGTCACCCTTTATCCATAATTTAGGCTGTTCTCTGCCCTGACCCGTTAGAACGAAGGCCCCATGAAGACAGGGCCCACATCTTCCCCTCTCGTCGCTGAATATTCCAGTGTTTCACATAGTGCCTGGGATCCCAACAAATTCATTCATTTGTTGAATGAATAAAGAAAAACGTGCCACCCTGCACGAAGCAGCAGGGTCTGGTGTGTTCTCTCCCTGTCACTTCACTCCTGGCTTCCTAAGCTCGCACCACCAGAGCAGAAAATCCCTGTGAAAGCCACACAGAGCTCTGCTTCCTCCCTATGGAGTCTCACACCCTTGCCAGGAGTCTGGGAAGATTGGGACTGTTCCTACCCCCCGCTTGCCAAAGATAACACCACTTCCCTTCATCTTGGAATGGAGGCCAGGTGAGGAAATGTTCAACTAAGGAAAGCAAGAGGACTAGGGTAGCTCTACCCGGCAGCTTGGAGGAGCACCTCTGATGGATGGAATAGAACAGCCACAAGACACGGAGCGCCCACCCCATGCAGGTGCTGTATAGGTGCCCTGGGCACTTTGATCCATTTTGGCCTTTCCTCAACCCTATGGAATGGGTATTATTCTCCCATTTTATAGATGGAAGAGTAAAGGCTCAGAGAAGCTAGATGACACGGCCAAGGTTTCCCCACCCAGGGCGGAGCCTGGTTTTGGACCTGGGTCTGTCCTACCCCAACCTGGCACCTGCTTTTCCATGGTACAGGCCTCTGTTCTGCTAGGGAAACTGGAGGTGCAGGGTGTGGAGCTCACCAGGCTCTCCATCCCAGGTGCCAGATCACGGGTGGTCTCTGCTGGCCTCAGCCTTCCACCCAAGCTATGGGAGCTCAAGTTCTGGCCACCAGCCAGTAATGAATGAGGGCAAGGACATCGTGTCGGCATGGCCTGAACTCATCCAAGAACGTGAGTTTCAACTGCACTCACCGCCTGCTCTGGCCTGTGCTGGGCATCCTCTCCTCACTCAGATGTGCACCGGCAAGGCTGGAGTCCAAATGGTATTCCCTGCATTTAAGGCCCCTGGCAGATCCAAGGCAAACCAAACCTGCCTCCGAGGCAGATCCAGCAGCCAACATCCAGGGGCTGCTCAAACTGGGGCACAGCTGAGAAAGCAGGAGAGCCTGGATCAAGCCTTCAGCTGTGGGGCTGTCTGCAGCTGCCCTTCTGTTCCTCAAGGACTCAGTTCGCCCACCCTGACAGTGGAAACCCTCTCTCACAGCAAACACTACTGATTCCTTATTACGTGCAAGGAAAATAATAAAGCTTCTGTTCTTGAGGCCTTCACAGGACAGGTTAGACATAGTCCACCGAATGGGCAATGGGGAGCCATGGACGATTTCGGAGCAGGGCAGTGAGAGGACTGCCCTACTTCAGGAAGCAGAGTGTGGCTTTTGTCATGACCAGAGCTAATGTGTGGGAAGCACTCACTGAATGCTGGAGGTTGTTCCGAGTGCTTTATAGATACTAACTTTAATCTTCACAGCCCCCCTGGGGTACTGTGTTATCCTCATTCTACAGTTGAAAAGACTGATGCACACAGAGATTGCAAGGCCCGGGCTGGGACAGTGGACATGGCCAGGGGAATGGAAGTGAGATGCTGTCTCTGGCTAAGACTCCTTGCCCTGGATCTCAGGCTGGACCAGGAAATTATGAGGGAGACACATCAAGCACTTTGATCTGCACAGAGAAGAACTCTATCTGCAACTGCTTTTATTGATAATGGCAACAATCACAGTATTCTTGGCCAATAGCCCACACAGGATAACTTCTTTGGTGGAAAAGAGATTTTAGAGACTCTCAAATAGAGATAGCTTATCACTGTGTGAGCCTGCCTTGACTACCCAATCCTTTCTTGATTTTATTAACTTAACTTGCTTAAATTGGGGAGAAAGCCTCACTGTAATGCTAACTTGGCTTTAATGCCTTCTAGCTTGGGATGTTTGATCACCACCAGGGGCCCCATCATAGAGTGGGATGAGTTGCTAGGAGTCACTGTGTTGGTGGAAGAAGAGGAAGGGTGGGGGGTGGGTGGGGGGCTGGGAGGGCTAGGGGGTTGGGGGAGAGACCAGCTAAGGCCAGGTAGGGGAAGAGGCAGCTGAACCCAGGAAGGACTGCCTGAGACCCCAGGGCTTCCTATGTTGTTTTGACAAAATTACACCTGGGTCCTCTGAGACATTCAGCTCCACCACCGTCAACAGCACTATTGATAGAAGTAATGCTTGAGAAGTAAAAAGAGACTGAGGTTGGAGTATATCACTGAGATCCCTTCCAGCTCTAAGAGTCTATGAAGATGCCATCTGTCATAATCCTTTCCTGAGAGGCAGGGAATTCTTGGAAGAGTTGCTTACTGGGCCTGTCCCAGACTGGGCTCAGCTGGGACCCATGCAGGACCCAGTTTACAGCTCAACCTGGGAACATTTCAGGGTGGAGGGGCAGCACAGGGGACATGCTAACCAGAGCCAGAGTAGTCTTTGGACCCCCTTCCCAGGCTTTAGGAGCCAAGGTCCCCCAGGACAGTGTCCTTTGGAGAGGACTGAGCTTTCTGGCACTCCCCTCCCACCAGGTTGTGGGTTTCGGAGGGCTTAGGGAGAGCCTCCACCCATGCAGCAGCTGGAGAGCCAGAGGTCACAGGCAATGGGGCAGCCACATTTCCTTAGCCTGACAGAGGAGCTGCTGCCAGGGTCTTAGCACTGCCGGGTGAGATGGTGGGAAGAGAACCAACCTGGATCAGCAGGTGAGGTTTGTGGCTGAGGTGGATGGGTGGTCACCGGCCCTGCCTCCTCTTGATCTGTCCTCAGGCACTTCCCAGTGGCCCAGCCTTGCCCTTGCTTGGTTCCTGACCACGCCGGTGGCTCCTCCAGGGCTCTGTGGCACAGGGGCGACAAAACACTCTCAGGTCTCCCCAGCCTCCTTGCAGCTGCTCACCCAGCCAAGGCCCAGCATGCTGGTCAGCACCTCCCCATGGGGCCTACCTCAGGGGAGTTCTCAAGGGGTGAGGGGCACCCCAGATGACCCCAGTCCACCCCCTATCTCTGCACCCAGCTGCCCATCCCTGGGGTGGGTGAGCTGGGGAGCCATCCTTCACCGTGGGTGAGCATGAGCCTGAGGGGAGGGGAGCTGTGGACAGAGCACTACACTAAAGGCACCCGGGTCTGCACTGCCACTTGCCTCCAAGCGACGTGGGAGTACCCCACTTCCCCACACAGGAAGGGTGCTTCAGCCTAGATACCCAGATGCTGCCAACAAGGCTGAGCTGGGGAGTTCAGAGGGGCCCATTACCATCGGGGACTTCAGCATCATTTGGGGGCTGCTTGCTAAAATGGCTTTAGGGCCCTTACCGTAGCCCACTGAATCAGAATGCCTGGGAAAGTGCCTGGGGATCTGCATTTAACAGGTTCCCCCTGTGGATGCACCTGAAATAAGAGTCGCTGGACCATATGCCACAAAAGGGCCAAGACAAGGATGAAGCTTTGATCATATGCATGAAGGAAGGGGTCTTTGGTCCCTTTCCTGCAAGCAGCGCCATAGGAGCCCCATCTCTGCAGACAGACTAGCCAGGGGCCCCAGGCAGCTGCTGAAAACTCACTAGACCCCATTTCTTTGGGACAAGATGAAGACTGGAGACATCTCCCTAGCCCTTTCAGACTGAAAATTATAAATATAAGAAGAGGGGAGCCCACTGGGAATTTAAAAAGAAAGTTCAGGGTGAGGCACTGAAATAGTACTCTGCCTTTCCAATTGCTTTCTTCTTAAATATTCATTTTAAATTCTTTTTGTTAAATATTTTACTTATTTATTTGAGAGAAAGAGAGAAACAGGACAAGCAGGGAGAAGGCTAGAGGGGGAGGGAGAAGCAGCACCCCCCCCCAGCAGAGAGGGGAGCCCAAAGTGGGGCTCCATCCCAGGACCCTAAGATCAGGACCTGAGTCAGAGGCAGATGCCCAACCAACTAAGCCAGTATAGTAGCACTTCTTTTTAAATTCTGAAAATAAGGACACCTGGGTGCCTCAGCGGTGGAGCGTCTACCTTGGCTCAGGGCACAATCCTGGAGTCCTGAGATCGAGTCCCACATCAGGCTCCCTGCATGGAGCCTGCTTTTCCCTCTGCCTATGTCCCTGCCTCTCTCTCTGTGTCTCATGAATAAATAAAATCTTTGAAATTAATTAATTAATTAATTAATTCTGAAAATAACATGCTTATAGGAAAAAAAAATCAAAGCATTTAAATCAATGCACAAAATCCCCCTGCTATTCCTCCAAACCTTGGTCCCACTCCCAAACACAGCCACATTTCCCATTTTACTTTTCTTCAAAAACTTTCCCATAAATACTGACAAATACACATCTATGCCTACATCTTTATTTTATTTTTTTTAATATTTTATTTATTTATTCATGAGAGACACACATACACACAGAGGCAGAGACACAGGCAGAGGGAGAAGCAGGCCCCACGCAGGGAGCCCGATGCGGGACTCAATCCCGGGTCTCCAGGATCACGCCCTGGGCTGAAGGCGGCGCTAAACCACTGAGCCACCCGGGCTGCCCTACATCTTTATTTTAAACCTAGCCAGGAACATATTCCCGGTACTGTTTTGTTAGTTTAACACACATCACACGTCTCTGCATACCAGCACAGACAGATCCTTCATCTTTGTGGAGCTCATGTGTTCCATTGAAAAATGCACTGTAATTTATGTGAATCTATTCCGGTTGATGGATGTTTACATTGTTTCTACCCTTTTGCTGCAAAAGCTGCAGAACAGCATCTTTGAGTTTTCCTTGTGTCTATGTCGGAGGTTAGCTGTAGGGTAAATACTAAGGACTGGAAGGTTAGGTGGATCTCAAATTCTGATAGATGTTTCCAAATTGTCTTCCAAAGAGGATAAACCAGTTCAAACTGCCCAGACAGGCCAGAGAATGACTGTTGCCCTCCACCCTTGACAACATTGTGCATTATCAAATCATTAAGCTTTGCCAATATGAATGTTGAAAAATCATATCTGGTTTCAATGTGTCATTCTGTAATTATGAGAAAGGGCAGACATTATTTTCATGTTTATTGATTGATTTGCCTTTGCATTTCTTTTTCTGTAAATTTCTTTTTCTGTCCTTTTCAAATTATCTTACTGATTTTTTTTAAAGCATCTTTTTTTTTTTTTTAATTTAAATTCAATTTAGGGACTCCTGGGTGGCTCAGTGGTTGAGTATCTGCCTTCGGCTTAGGTCCTGATCCCAGGGGTCCTGGGATTGAGTCCTGCATCAGGCATCCCAAAGGGAGTTTGCTTCTTCCTCTGCCTATGTCTCTGCCTCTCTCTCTGTGTCTCAATAAAACAAAAGTCTTTAAAAAATAATTTAAATTCAATTTAGTTAACATATAGTATATTGGTAGTTTCAAGGGTAGAGTTCAGTGATTCATCAGTTGCATACAACACCCAGTGCTCATTACATCACGTGCCCTCCTTAATGCCCATCACCCAGTTACCCCATCCCCCCACCCACCTCCCCCTCCAGCAATACTCAGTTTGCTTCCTATAGTTAAGAGTCTCTTATGGCTTGCTTCTCTCCATTTTTATCTTACTTTATTTTTCCTTTCCTTTCATTATGTTCATCTGTTTTGTTTCTTAAACTCCACATATGAGTGAAATCATGTATCTGTCTTTCTCTGACTTCCTTCACTTAGCATAATACCATCTAGTTCCACTCACATTGTTGCAAATGGCAAGATTTTATTCTTTTTGATGGTCGAGTAATATTCCATTGTATGTATGTGATATATATGTGTGTGATATATATGTGTGTGTTATATATATATATATATATATATATATATATCTCACATCTTCTTTATTCATTCGTCTGTCCATGGACATCTGGCCTCTTTCCATATTTTGGCTACTATGGACATTGCTGCTATAAACATTGGGGTGCATGTGGTCCTTTGGATCACTATGCTTGTATCCTTTGGATAAATACCTGGTAGTGCAATTGCTGGGTTATAGGGAAACTCTATCTTTAACTTTTTTTTTTTTAAAGGAGGGATTACTTAACATCTTTCTTTTCTTTTTTTTTTTAAGATTTATTTATTTATTTATTCGTGATAGACACAGAGATTGAGAGAGAGGCAGAGACACAGGAGGAGGGAGAAGCGGGCTCCATGCCGGGAGCCCAACGCAGGACTCGATCCCAGGACTCCAGGACCGCGCCCCGGGCCAAAGGCAGGCGCCAAACCGCTGAGCCACCCAGGGATCCCCTATCTTTAACTTTTTGAGGAACTTCTATACTATTTTCCAGAGTGGCTACACCAGTTTGTGTTCCCAGCATTCCTCACCAACATCTGTCATTTCCTGACTTGTTAATTTTCGCCATCCTGACTGGTGTGAGCTGGTGTCTCATTGTGGTTTTGAGCTGTATTTCCCTGATGCCGAGTGATGTTGATTTTTAAGAGGTTTTTCTAAGCTAAGGCAATTAATCAACTTGTCATGCGTATTGCAAACTGTCATGTCTCTTTTCATTTTTTTTTATGTCATCATTGGCTTACAGAAATTTCATATTTTCCTGTAAGCAAAGGTATTTTTTTTACTAGAGCATCCTAAGAATATTTGCCCATGTTTTCCACTAGTACTGTTTGGGTTTTCTTTTTTCTTTTTAATCTTTTTTTCTAGACTATATTTTGGTGTAAGAACATAGTAGGGCCCAGCTTTATTTTTTTCCTCAAGGGGCTAAACAGTTGCTCAAAGTCATGTATGAATAATCTATTTCCTCTCTCCACCCCACCACCCTCCCTCTAAGTTCAAAATCTCAATTTAACTATGTGTACAATTTGAGGGATGCCTGGGTGGCTCAGTGGTTGAGTGTCTGCCTTTGGCTTGGATCATGATCCCGGAGTCCTGGAAGTCCCTAGGGAGCCTGCTTCTCTCTCTGCCTGTGTCTCTGCTTCTCTCTGTGTGTCTCTTATGAATAAATAAATACAATCTTTTTAAATAAATAAATAAATAAATAGGCCTCCTTTTATAACTTCTGTTTTCAAGATTCATATTGGATTGTACTTCTCAAGCAGTGTTAATGTTCAAAGTAAGAGTGGTCATTTTCCCCTAGTATATGTGTATATCTCTATACACACATACACACACATGCATAAAACTATATTAAGCAATATCTATCTATTCTTAATAAATACGAGTTAAATTTGAGACCTTATGTAGTCAAAGCGATCTTGAAAAAGAAAAACAAAGCTAGAGGTATCAGATTTCAAGTTATACCAAGTGGTAGTAATCAAAAGAGTATGGTACTTGCATAAAGATAGACACATAGATCAATGGAATAGAGCAGAAAACCCAGAAATAAACCCCAATTATAAGGTCAATTAATCTTCAACAAAGGAGGAATGATACACAATGAAAAAAAAGACAGTCTCTTCAACAAATGGTATTGGGAAAACCAGATAGCAATATGCAAAAGAATGAAACTGGACCACCTTCTTACACCATACCCAAAAATAAACTCAAGATGAATTAAAGACCTAAATGTGAGACCTGAAACCATAAAAATCCTAGCACAGGCAGTAATTTCTGTGACATCAGCTATAGGAACATTTTTCTAGGTATGTCTCCTGAGGCAAAGAAAAGAAAAGCAAAAATTAACTATTGGGACTACATCAAAAATAAAAAGCTTTTGCACAGTGAAGGAAACAAAACAGAAAGGCAACCTACCGAATGGAGAAGATACTTACAGATGACCTATCTGATAAAGGGTTAGTATCCAAAATATTTAAAGAACTTCTAAAATTCACCATCTCAAAACCAAATAATCCAATTAAAAATGGGTAGAAGTCCTGAACAGACATTTTTTCAAAGAAGACATCCA